GAAATTTATTTCTTGCACTGATTTTTATATTCTCTATGCTCCCAGCTCAGAGAACATACAAACTGATTCCCTATCATGCAGAGCCTGTATAATTTTGTCTTGCGGGGAGGGGGGAATGTCTATTTAAGATGCAGTCTAAAAAACAAAAATAGTCTTTTGAAGCAATTTGGTGTATTATAAAAATAATATTTACAAACTATGCATCAGAAGACTTGTGTTATTTCCCACTCTAGTTAGCCCCTTTCACTTTTCAGTTCTGCTTGTTTGCCAACTCAGCCCTGGCAATAGATTCCAATGAGTTAATTCTCTGCCACTGGCCACACAGAGAGTAATTTAGCATTTTCTGTTTATGTCTGCTGTGCTTTTAGCTCAGGATGAGGTCTGGGTGGTTTGTCCCTTTCTACTAGAATTCCTTGCTACTGGCTATTGCAAATAATCTGCTCTCCTATTATATCTACCAACCCTTGCATATCCCTTCCTTCACCAAGAGTAAGTCCAGAGGAGTTTGTCTAAGGCCATTTTTTACTTCTCGCTTTCTACCACTATTAGTAGCTGTTGGTAGTTCTGGCTGTTTCAGTGGCTGCCTGATTTTATGGCTGTTCCTGCACAGGATCAGCAATTGGTTCTTGTTTGCTGCTGTTCTCTTCTTATCTCAGCTTTTTGGATACCAAATCAAGTTAAAGTCTTCTCCCAACCTCTCCCCACAAGTAATTCCTAGAGCTGGTCCATGAAGTTTTAACCACTCTCAGCTTTGGTGGCCTTCAGCTCTTTAGCACTGCTTCAGCCTAAACGATCCATCGTGTGTCTTAGCTGCTGCCTCAATGCTCAGCTGTAGAATTTTCTATAGGAATGAGATTTGTCCATCTCTGAACTCTACAACATAAACCTATGCCAGGGGTAGGCAACCTTGGCTCTTTTATGACTCGTGGACTTCAACTCCCAGAATTCCTGAGCCGGCCATGCTGAGGGGAAAGGGAGAGGTTTCCAAGCTGAGCCATGCTGGCTTAGGAATTCTGGGAGTTGAAGTCCACGAGTCATAAAAGAGCCAAGGTTGCCTACCCCTGACCTATGCATATCTTCCTGTGGATCTGTAACTCCCTGGAATTTTCTTTTTCAAACCATTCTTCAAATCTTTATACACCAATACTATGCCACCATTTCAGCTCTTCCCTGACTATAAGAGAGTCAGCCTTTAAAAACTTTCACATATGCTGGCCTGTGTGCAACCTGAGACCACGTGCTTTCTGCAGAACTGCCCAGATATTTACAATTAGAAATGTTGACATAAATTTAGTCCTTATGAAATGCCTGCGGCCATGATTGTGCAACTACAGTATTTTTCCACTTCTCATCCTATATTAACCTCAACTATTGACACTTGGGGGCAGGGAAGCACTTTTTTTTTTTTACTTTTATAAACAAGTGGACTTGCAACAACAAAATCCACTATATGGGGTTGAGGATATGATTTTCAGGAGAACATTCTTACTTCCTTCTTTTCTTGGGGCAGGGGAAACTGCATTGAAATGGCTCTCTCTATATATTCCTCCTTCCCGCAGGAAAGAAGAGTTACAGTATATTGTCTTTTGACAATAAAACTGTTGGTCATTTTGGATTTTTTCAAACAAGCACCTTTTGCTCCAACATTTTTGGTAGCCTTTCAACAGAGATTTTAGAGACATAAAATCTTACCTCTCTTCTTGTCACATTTGCTAATATCCTAAGTCTTTAACAATGGACCCATTGTTACATCCTCTGATTTCTCTAAACTTATGGTAGCACAACAACATCTCAAAAAACACCTAGTTCTTGTCAAGGCTGCTTACAAATGTATGGTGGATTATCACTTTAAAAAAAGGGCTGTTTTTGTTCTCTCCACTAATCCTTTCAGAAAATTTATTGTTCTGTTTCTCACAACAGTTTAAGAGAATCATGAGGGAAATGGATCACTTTCCATTCAGGAAGCTGCTAAAATTGCTACACATTACTTCGAAAACAAGAAAAAATCCTATTTATGTTAAAGAAAATATATTTGCATTCCTTGAAGCTGACTGTGACCCAAGAATCTGTTAAGGGCTAAGCCACTCAGGATTGCTTGAACCACGAGACAGGTGGCAAATAAAATTGATAAATAAATAAAAAATAAAAAGTTCTATTCTGGTGCCAGTCTCAGCAAGGAAACCAAGATGACTAGATAGCAATGGATAGTTTGCAACTCTTCAATTCTAACGGAAATCTAATTCCTGCTCTGAATTCTTACTTTGTTCTGGGTAGCAATTTCATGGCTGGCTGATATTTGCTTAAAACAGGGGTTCCCAACCAGGGGTGCGAGACGATATTCCAGGGGGTGCAAAAACTTGGATTTTCAAAATTATAGTGTATATGCATAATTCGTTGCCATTATTTCAAACTTTTGTAAGGGGTGCAAGAATATATCAGAAGCGTTTTAGGGGTGCGGGGTATAGAAAAGGTTGGGAGCCACTGGCTTAAAAGGATCCTTGAAGTTAGCTTTCAACTGTTACAAAATTAGCACCTTTGCCCAAATCAGGATTAACCTTAATCAAAGGTTATCTACTTTGCAACTTCCTCAGTCTTATACAGTCATTAGGCTTATTACAAATCCTATCCAAATCTGATCTCTTGAGAAATTCTTATCTCAGGGAGTTATATAGTTTATCCTAAGGAAAGCAGTAAATTTGACTCTTCCTCATTTGTCCACAAAAATATTTCTGCCCACCATTGAATTTCATACAGCACTTGATTATGTTCATTCATTTTGACTGCCTTGTGCTCCTTTTCCCACCAAATGTACTGGGGTTACAAATAATGGTTATCTTTGCAGATTTCTGTACCCACACCATAATCACAATAAGGAACTCATATCATTCAATTACAGTGGGGAGGGGACTTTTTAGACATGAGATTTTAACTTAATTGCAGGCAAAAAAGGATCAAGAGCTGTAAATTTGCTGAGATTCTTGTATGTACTGTATTTCTCTGGCAACAAAGCAAACTTTTGATATCAAGAGGGCTGTAGGAGTAAGAGTGGTAACTGCTCTGGTACCAGCTGCAAAATAAGCTTGTGCTCCCACAGTTGGCGATTCACCTCTTATGGAGTTAGCTGATTTTATATTCTTTTTTGAGTTAATTGATTCATGGTCTGAGCTATGGTAGTTGGTTCACTTTGGCAGCTTTCTAATATTGATGCTTACAACTTAATCAACAGTTAATAATAGTTCCCAGGAAGCTGGTAGCCATTATTCACATTCTAAAGTCATATTTGAGTAGTAGGGAAAGATAAGGACTATCAAAATGACAGGGTCATTAAGAAGACTTTGGCACAATTTCACAGACATTTGACTCAGCGTGACTTGGCTAGGCTCCAGGTTTAAATTCAGTTTAAGGCTCTCCAACATTTGGCATTGTTAGATAAGAATCTTTATTACATTGTAAACAGGAGTCACTAAAACAACGGGTTGTTTTCTATGAACATGAAAGTTTAATTCCGGCATTTGTTTCTCCTGCCCTTGCATAGTTTATCAGACTATGCATCCTATGCTTCTTAGACTCAAAGCTGGGTGACTATGGATTGCTGACATAATTAACATCTTCTCTCTGAGGAATTCTGGATGTTGACACCTGCACTGGGTATCTCCAGCCAGCATCCGGTGAAACATATATACTGCTCAAAAAAATAAAGGGAACATTTTACCATGGAACTGAAGGGGTTTGCATTCCCTTTATTTTTGTGAGCAGTATATTTTACTCTTCGCACATGCAGGAGTATGAGCCCCTAAAATATGAGTTAACTGTTCCAAAAACTGCACTTAATGGCATAGGAAAGCACAGCTGGGCATTATGAAGAGCAATACCGAGAGCAACAACCCCATACCAGTTGATGTCTCATTATAGGTAGTCCTCAAGTTATGACCACCACTGAGCCCAACATTTCTGTTGTTAAGTGAGACATTTGTTAAATGAGTTTTGCCCCATTTTATGATCTTTCTTGCCACAGTTGTTAAGTGAATCACTGCAGTTGATAAATTAATAACTGTGGTTAAGTGAATTTGGCTTTCCCAATGACTTTGTCTGTCAGAATGTCACAAAAGGGGATCACATGACCCCAGGACACTGCAACTGTCATAAATATGAATCAGTTGCTACGCATCTGAATTTTGATTGTGTGACCATGGGGATGCTGCAATGGTTGCAAGTGTGAAAATTGGTCACAAGTTACTTTTTTCAGTGCCATTGTAACTTCAAATGGTCCCTAAACGAACTGTTCCAAGTCGAGGACTGTCTGTACAGAGTAAAAGCATCATGATGCCAAAGAATACAAAAAAGTCAACGTTGAGGCCATTTTCAAAGAACTCCAAAATCTCAACTTCTCCTTGAGCCATGGCTTGTGCCAGAAACATCCCCATGATTGGTTTCTCTTTCAGAAAGGGATTCTGCCCACTCTAGCAGAACAGATTGGGACTATATAATGAGCTTGTCCCCCAGACCGAAGAGCTGAGGCAGAATCCTCCTTGTGAAGCAAAGTTCCTCTTAAGTAACTATTAAAGCAGTCAGTGAAGTTAAATAACCAGGAAATGAGGACCACTCTGAGCGTACATAAATATATATGCATGCACAGATATAGCATTACTTCTTTTTGCAATTTGTGTTACAGAATTTTTAGCTCACCCAAACTTTACGGTATAATATAACAAGCCGTAGCTACAGGGACGTAAAAGCAGAATGAGAAGTACGAAAAATGAAAAGTTCTCATGCAGGAAATTTCCTCGGAAAAAGACTGGTTGAACGATCAAGTTGGGCGGAGCTCTTCCGAGACACTCCCACCCCAAGTCTTAACTTAAGGGAAGGTCAGCAATAACGGGAGGGGGGCGGCATTTCCAAACTGCGCATGCGTGTGGAAAAAAAAAAACCCCGCGGACGTCGCTCCCGCCTCTTCAGCGCAGAACGAGCGGAAGAGCAATTCCTTCCCCCGAGCGCGTCATTTCCGGCGTGTGGGCGCGCGGCTTGATTCGCTCGGTTTGGCTGGGTCTGTTGGCTTCGCTGGCGCCGGGGCCGCCGCCGTTTGGGAAATGGCGGGTAAGGAGGGGGACCCTCCGGGCACATAAACGGGGGCGGATTGGAGACCTGGGTCTCTGGTGTCCGCTCTGCGCACTCTGGGCGAGGGAGGTTTCTCAGCCAGAGTCTGGCAGGTGATGAGCGGGAAGCCCACCCTGTTTCCGACTCTTACCTACAGTCCCGGGAAGCTCTAATTACAGGGGTAGTCAACCTTGGCTCTTTTATGACTCGTGGACTTCAACTCCCAGAATTCCTGAGCCAGCCATGCTGGCTCAGGAATTCTGGGAGTTGAAGTCCACGAGTCATAAAAGAGCCAAGGTTGACTACCCCTGCGTCTAATATATCCCTGCTGGGCGGGAAAAGTGTCTCGTGTATCTCGCTCTTTCTGCCGCGGTAGGGGAAGGAGAACCGTCCCCCGCTGGTGGAAATGGGGAATGCTTGACTTGCCCTCCAATTCGTGGCTGTTTCTCAACTCGCTTTGAAGATCGTTGACTGACGTATAGTTCACCGACGGCTCGGAGGAGAAAGGGGGTGCGCCGGTCCTTCAGGGTTCTTCCCCTGGAGTGGACCTGTGGGTAGGAGGAGAGGTTGATTGGTACGGTAGTATTTGCCCGCTAGAAGAGAATTAGGTCGCGTGGTCCTCAAACTCTTCCGCTCATCGACCCCTTCATGAAGTTTCAGATTGTAGCGTCGACCTCCATGTATTGATTATGTGAAAATAATTTAACATATATCACTTTAATAGTAGTATGAATACTTACAACATCAACCCTTTGGATTGTTCCCTTGGGGATTGATGTTGACCACTTTGGAGAACCCTGGTGTAAACTACTAGATATTATAGCCCCTTACCTTTTAAGCTGTTGCAGAATAGTAGGATTATCCAATATGGGCAACCATGGTGTGACTATCACATCATTATCCTAAACAAAGAGGGTTCTCCAAGTAAATATCTGCACTAAATGTGAATATCATGTTTGAAAATATTGGAGCATATTACTCTACAACACAGCTTTTCCCAAACTGGTGCTCTCACAATCTGTTATGTTAGTTGACAGTCTGAATGTCATTAAATTGAGAGAGAAAACTAGTCGAAAACAAACATCCCAGTGCCTCTGTGTAACTTGGGAAACTACTGTTCCTCAAAACAGTAGTAATTCACCTGCTTATGTTCTTTGAAACTTATTATATTATAACTTCTGTTCCAGTATTAGGCATATGTTTTTGTCTCTTTTTGGAATGGAAAAGCTCATAGAATCTGTGATAATTCTAAGATATGGGCTTTTACATATCTATAGATAATTCGAGATTTTAGAGCAGAAAATTGTAGTCTTCCTTAGGATGGTGACCTCTTGAGTGTTGCAAAGTTCCTGCAGCCAGGAATTAATGAGTGCTGAGAACATTGGGTTATATAACACTGAAACACTGATTTTGCACATCTGCCTTGTTTCTATCTTCATTCTCACAGGGAGGAAGAAAACGCTGAAAAAAATACTGATTGAAGCTAAAAATGTAACTTGCAGCGACATGGATCTTTCCAGATATTTTGAGCTGTTGCAGCATCTTGTCAGCTAGTCTCTATACCTGCTAGTCAGAATGGGAGTTGTAGGCCAAAGCTTCTGAGAAATCCACGGTGCAGAAAGTTGCTCTGAAACACAAATAACTTCTGTCATAGGTGAAGTTATGGCAAATATCACAAACCTGAATAAGGCTACACTCCAAAATTCTATGTGTTCACAAGGCTAAGTCCAATGAGTAGTGGTTTGTGTATCTTTGCTGTAAGTTTTCAAGCAGATGCTAGATAGCCATATTTCTGGAATAGTTTAGTAAATTTCTGTTTGGACTAGAGAGATTTGGACTAGAGAGCCTTCAAGGTTTTGTCTAATTCATATATTCTATGATTTAATCACTTTTAGAAGTTTTAGGATGCCAGCCACTGTTGTAATAATTTGAACTAATATGTATAGGTTCTGAAGCAATTCATGCCTCTTTCATTCATTAATTGTGTGAAAGGATCTTTGCATAATTATCAGAGAATAGGATTGCACTGCCATCCTTTTCTATCAGTCTTAGGTGCAATATTGGTCTTCCTTTGAGTTCAGTATATTAGAAAAGTGTCTTTGCTAAATCTCTAGAATAGCATCTGCTCATGTTGCATAGGAACAAGATAGCATACAACTAGAAGACATTATCACAGATCTACATGGTCATAGGTTGAGGGTCAGTATTGTGCGTCTATTTCTTAATTGCCACAAATGTTATTGTGTTCAAGCAGTATTTCTTAAGCTATTTTGGAGGATCCCAAAAGTGACATGGATCTTTCCAGATATTTGTTGGTATGGGTTATATTTATTGATATTTACCATATTAACTTAAAATTGACACATTCTTACAATATTTATTGAGTATCAAAATAATAGTATTAAACCAATTAACAAATACTTTCATAAAAACTATTCTAACAAATTAAAAATAGTAATGAGAAAAGTGCCATTGTTTTACATTTTTACATATGTAAAACAGTATCTGACAAATAATTTTGAATTTGCAGAATCATGACATAATCTTGGGGGTACTCTCAGGGAGCCTAGGACCACACTCTTAAGAAACACTGCTTTAAGATGCAGTAGCTATTTTGTCAGTCCTTGAAAATAGATCATATTCTCTATTGCATAATGTATTATGGTTGTGAATAACTAAATATCCAGAAAAAATACCAGGATGAGATTTGTTCAAATACATTTATGTCAATTTTCCAGCCCAATACAGGATGAATTATAAATAAATCTGTTACATGAGTATATAAATAGTTAGGTTTTCAGGTGCCTAAGTTACTTTATTCCACTGTGGAATAAAGCAGCAGTAGAACAGACTTGTGATTGCTGAGGTTGAAATTGTGAGTTAATTGGGCAAAATGAAGTGGTCTTCAGAGTCTAGGCACAGGATTTCTAATAACCAAGGAAGACGATGTACTGTACTAAATCTTCTATTTAATGGTTTTGCCATATATAGAAAGTAATGAAAGGACAACTACCTCTCTCCAACCTGAAATGCATAAGTAAAAGAATAATCTCTCCCAATTTGTTGAGCTTCTAAAAGTACAATGCATCTGTAAGGAATCTGGAGAGGAAAGCTAGATGTTGCCTCTTGCTTTGTGGCCAGAGATTCCCAGAATACGGTGTCTGTTATTGATTGCCAGAGTTGATAATTGCCAGCATATGAAGCCAGAGAAAATGGAAGAATTTTCCTATAATTGTGATAAGACTTCTGAAGTTTCAATTTGTTCACAAATTGGATTTTGAGGAGGGAAACAAAGAATTACCCTAGATTTTTTATGGGGATTGAGGGTGTATAACCAGCTAAGTCCAATTCTATCTAGCCCTAATGCTTGATGCACTTTTACCTCAGAGGCAGTGAACTGCTCTCAAAACAAAAGGCAAGGATTAGTTCTGACATTAATTCCTTCCATTCCCCCCATTCCATCCCCCAACCATCCAGCCATAACTGACGAAGCTTCTTTGATGAGAAGTGAAATATCGTCTTCTTTCTCAAGAGGAAAAAACAGTCCAGTTGCCTTTTGAAAAAGCACTTTTGAGACAGCCATGATCTGGATGACTGAGAATCTCAATAGACACTCTTAAAACAATGCCCACTTTTGGAATGCAGTCTTCAATATGTTGTGTATAACCCTCAAGCCAATAGAAAGTGCACATATTCACAGTAAGAAACTGGATGCCTGAAAGAAAACAAGAATCCACTTGGTTAGGCATATTTTCTGGACCACACATTTTATTTCTGTTGGGCAAATGGCCTAATACAAACATGACATATGAACTACAAGATCATAGTGAAGAGTTGTGCTTGTTAGACCATCTTTTGAGGTGCTTGTTTCCTTCTTTAATATCTTTGCTTTTATTTAAAATAAAATAATATGTGAGCTAAAATATTTTGTTTAAAAGCTTTTATATTGTGGCAAAAACTGATTTAAAATTCTTTTTCCCTAGGTCTCTCTGCTATGGAAAAGAAATTGGCTGAGTACAAGTGTAATACAAATGAAGCAATTCATCTAAAATTAGGTAAAATTTTAAAATATAGCTCTGATGTAACCCACTATTTCAGAAGTTTTGCTAAACAAAAATGTATTTTTAAAGACTAGCAAAGTAACAGTTGCCTTTCATGTATATACTGTTATGTACATGCATCTTTATAGAATTAATGTAACAGTAGAATAATACGGTTCCTGTTTCACTTATTTAATGATTTGTAGCATATCTCTTGCTATGTGCTGAATATATTTGAATTGAAACTTATTTTGATGAGTATTGAACAGAAAGTAGGTATTTTCCATCAGATGGGTGTTAGAACTGGGCTTAAATATCACGTCAGCTCAAAATCATCTTCTGGAAAGTTGGTTAATTAGCAAAGCGAGAAATGTAAGATTTATTGCACAGTCTTCTGCTAACACCAGCCTCATTTTGGAATTGCTGATATTTTAAACATTTCCTTAGTCTTGTATAGGTAGTTCTCACTTATCAGCAGTACCAGGAACTCCATTGCTAAGCTTCACAATCAGAAGCCTGAGTGAAGGTCACAAATGGTTATCATATTATTGTGGGACACAGTGAGCATAATAACTGTGAGCTGGTTGCTCAGTGCTGGAATATAAGGCTTGTCATAAGTGCCCCTCGTTCAGCAGTGTCATAACTTCAAATGGTTACTGAACAAGTAGATGTTAAACAAGGACTACCTGTATTCAGCTGATTTGTGTACACATTTTTGCTTTTTGATATGGAAGTGGCAATGTGTGAAGAAGCCTTAGGAATTTAAGACTCTTTAAGTGATAAAACATAAAAGTACTGTGGAGAAAATAATGGAAAATAGATTCTTTTCCCTATCGCTACATTCTGAATCAGAAATTGTAATAAGGTCAATTTGAGAAATTGTACAGGATCTAATTATTTAATGAACTATATCTACAGTAGAGACTTAAACTGATTTTCTGTAACAAATAAAACCTTCCTGTGACATGCATTTGAAACTGAAAAAAACATGAATTTATTAGGGCATGAGCAATTCTATGTTCCCAAAATGCATGGCTAAAGCAACATAGAAGGTTTTTTACTTCCCTCTTCCAAGGTCTTCTCTTGGTGGTAGCAGAAAGCTCTGCTTGCATTAGCACTTATACTCTGCCAGTGGTGGGATCAGACAAAATATATTTTAATGTTCTAGTGAGGAATGCTGGACTTTTACAGGTTCCTAGATTATCAAAATTCCACTGTAATAATGCCAACTGAAGTAGTTGACTCCATCCTATTAGAAGTGGGTTCTGGGTGAGTGAGTTTAAGAGTTGCAAAATATTGGCCCAGTAGTAGGTAAGATTTCAGACATTATGGCATAGCCTCACTAGATGCACAGATACTCCTCTTTTTTATACTGCTCTTCCCATTGATACAATTTCTGTAAATTAACCAAAATATGTTGGCAGACTACTACCAACTATTCAAATGCAAACAACTTTTTCTCATCAGTCCGCTTCCCAGAGGATTTGGAAGATGATAATACAACATTTCATCCGGAGTTCAGCCATCAAGTCTTTGGGGATGAGTAAGTGATATAATATATTATTAAAAAAAGTTTTAAAAGATTGGATTTTGTACCAATGCCATAAAATTTAACAGTAATTTTTATTAAATTGCATGCAGCTCTTTCAATAAATATATGGATCTATAATTATTTTTGCCATATAATTAACTGAGGTCAAGATCTATAGAACGATTGGCATTGCTTTTGTGTTATGATGCTCTTTTCTAAAGTTGTAACAGATTTCAATTCCAATTTATTGAAGATTTTAATTAGAATAATAAAAATAATATAAACTAAATTCAGAAAGAAAGCAAAGCAAAAAAAAGTAAAGTGTAAAGAAGAAGAAAGCGAAAGAAAAAATGTGGGTGGCCGTGGCACCGATGGGGCTTTCCCCGCTCGGGGTGGCCTTTTGCTTGCTGGGCATGAGTGTGCTCTACCACCTCTACTCGAGCTTCCTAGCTGGCTGCTTCGCCTCCTTCGTGCTGGGCAGGCCTGCAGCTCTGAGTGGCGGCGGCAGCCTAATGGACCTGCACGAGCTTCTGGCGGTGATGGCCCGAGGCAGGGCCATGGTGCATTGGGTGCACAAGGGGAACAGACTCCATGCGCGGGCCAAGGGCAAGATCTGCGAGGAGGCCGGGGAGATGACCAGCAGTAACCTGCTCTCCAACCGCAAGCAAAAACAGATGGGATGGAGTAGGCGCGTCCAGTGGTCTGCATCTCGTGCCTCCTCCCCTCCCCTACTCTGCCTGCTTCTGGAGGGCTGGCCTGGTATTTGCAGCGGGCTGCAGAGTCCCGGTGTGCCATGGTCGTGGAGCCAGCAGGCTGTGGCTGCTGATGGACACCGTCGGCTCCCATGCGCTCGTTGGCCTCTGTGTGCCTGCCCCCTGCCTGCCCTTGCCTCGCCTGACCCTGCAGGACGAGCCTCCTGCCCATCTCCCCACCTGCCAGAGACCCCCTGGATCTCCCTCAACCCTGCCCAGTCCCCACAGGTGTCCCCCCACGATCAACGTCAAGCTGGCCATGCCCACCCAGTTAGCCGTGACTACCGCAGCCACGCCCACCCGTCCCCCCTGAGGGCCCCATAATGCTGATACGGCCCTCAATGAAATTGAGTTTGATTTAAACAAGGATGTCCACTTTTACCTTTTTTGTTATTTCTGTAAACCATTGGCTTGTGTTATTGGACAACAAAGAAAATTTATGGATAATTTTACTTAATTTAATTGAACATAAATTGATTTTATTTGCAGATGACAGTCTTCTGTTTATTTCTAAACCTTACACTAGTATTGCTATGTTAATGCAAATGATAAATAAAATAGCAGGATATTCCATCAAGTGGTTTAAATCGGAGGTGATGCCAATAGGTGAAAATCTGATTATCCTTCCATTTAAGGAATATTAGTTTCATATTTGTATCAAAACCATTAAATATTTAGGTATGGATATAGAAAAAAAATATAATTCCTATATATAAAGGTTTCTTCAGATATGGGTAAGTGGGAATCATTTAAACCTCACTCTTTAGGTGAATAGTCTCAAAATAAATACTCCCATGTTAATTTATATTCTGGGAGGAATTCCTGCTTAAATATGACTTGTTTCACATCTGTCATTTCTTCATAAGCATCTTTTGAACACTATCCATAGAAGCAGACATTGTTGATATTGTGGCTACTAATTTCTGACCCCATTCTTAGTACTTAAAATATAACAGTATTTTGTGTCATTGTATAAATCCTAGTACTGATCAAAACCAAAAACAAATTTATACTCCCCCCCCTTTTGGCCTGGAATCTTTAGTCCTGTCTTGTGTCCAATTTCTAAAAACATAAAGTCTCCAATCTCTGTTATGAAATATAGTAGACAAAATATTTTTATTTCTCATGGAAATATGTTTATTTTACATAGTTGGTTTCAAAATCTTACACTAAAAGTTTCAATATTCCAAATTTACCTGGCCCCTTAATTTGCTTATACTGTAGTATAACTTTCTTAGATCAAAATCTTCTTTACCTTTTTGCCATTCATTTAAAATTCTTTAAGCTCTTTACTTGTTAATTTCTCTTTTGTTCAGAAATGAAGATAGACTCACCAAATGGCTTTTCAAACATGTTGCAAAGATCTCTAACAGCTTTAAGATGATTAAATAGGCAATTTCTGAAAGTGATTTGAAAGCAAGGTTAGCAAACCTAGTGTATGTTTAAAAGGTTCCATGTAAGTGTGAGCTTGATAACTCATCTCTTTATTTCCCGTTGTTTGACTCTTTGTTCTGGAGTTTCCTCATGAAAGCAACTGTGTAGAGCACATGAGGCTGATCTCCTGTCCTCTCCTTGTCCAATCAATCAGAATCAGAATAGATTCTGGAAGGGGCCTTGGAGGTTTTCTAATCCACCCCACCCCCACTCAAGCAGGAGACCCTTTACCAGTGGTGGCAAACCTTTTAGAGACCAAGTGCCCAAACTGCAACCCAAAACCCACTTATTTATCACAAAGTGCCAACACGGCAATTTAACCTGAATACTGATGTTTTAGTTTAGAAAAAACAACTCCTACATTAATATCTTTTGTCTTAAAAGAAAAACACAATAACAGAGCTTTCAATGATACAAACAACTTTTTATTGAAAGGTAAAAGTTTGTATTTGGCATGCTTTTGAACAATTAATATAATTTTTGCTGTTATATGCATGCTGATAATTTGTCTAACCTTGGCTCATACTTTGTAAGTTTGAGAGCAACACATGCAGCACTCAGGTCATCTGTTAGTCTGTTTCTGCTGTCAGATTTGATATAATTCAAAGCTGAAAACAGCTGCTCACAAGCATAAGATGATCCAAACAAGGTAAGGAAAGCAATCCCAAGTGTTTTCATTGACTTAAAATTATGTGGCAGAGATTTCCACACTTTAAGGATTTCATTTTCAAACTAACTGTGCTGTCCTTTGTCATCCCTTCTATCTTTTCAAGTGTTTCACGCAGGTCATAGAATTTATTTTTCCAGATGGAGCTTTCTTGAAATTCCGGTAGCTCCATTTCCAGATTTCCTAAATCTAACCAGTGTAAGCAGGAAAGATCAAGTTCTTCAAATTTGGCTTTATCTGGAGAAATAAGAAAACACAGGGTTGTCTCCATCTCACGGAACTGTAAAAATCTGTTACTAAAATTCACCTTTACAGCTGTTACAATGCTAGAAAATTCCTTGTAGATTTCCTGATGGCTTGTAGAATTGTCTGCAAATGTTGTAGAATTTTCTAAATGCATTTTTAGATTTGGAAACTATTTCAGCTGCCCACTTTCAAGGTCTCTTTCAAAAACCTGCAGTTTTCTCTCAAATGTTTTGATATCACAAAACATTCTTTCTGCTGTTTTCCCTACACCTTGTAGTTGTTTGTTCAGTACATTGAATTGTAGTGTAAAATCTGTAAAAAAACATGAGGTTGGTAACTCATGCCATATCAGTGAGCTGTGGATATTCCTGCCCTTTTTCATTCATAAACAGCCTAATTTCATCCAAGCAGTATACAAATCTCTCCAGGACTTGTCCTCTGCTCAGCCACTGAACATTATTATACATAAGTACACAATTATACTGTGCTTGAACCTCCTCAAGAAGTGCTTGAAACTGTCAAAAATTCAGAGCACAAGCCATGATGTAGTTCACCATTTTTGTGACATCTTTGAGGACATCGTCAAATTTTTTGCTGCTTTCCCTGGTACAAAGAGCTTCTTGGTATATAATACAATGGAACTGAATGACTTGATGTTTTGTTTCTTTAACAAAGAACTGTATGAAACCAGATGTTGCCCCCACCATAGAAGGTGCTCCATCACTAGTAATTGAAACAACTTTTTCTGGTCTTATATCTTGTGACAAAAAGGCCTCCTTCACAGCATTGTAGATATCTATTCCTTGTATTCTTTCAGGCAAAGACACCAGTTTCACCAGCTTTTCTCTCATGTCACCAACAGCATAACGCAAAATTACTGCTAGCCTTGCATGATTATTTATATCTGTGCTTTCGTCCAAGCACATGAAGTAACAGGCTGCTTTTTGTAAGTCAGTGGTGAGCTGTTGACTAACATCACTTGCCATGCACTGGATTCGATCTTTAACAGTATTTCTGCTAAGTGGCACTTCAGAGATGCGTTGAATAACTTTATCCTTGTTTGGGAATCATGTAAAAGGGAATTATTCCCAGACAACATGGCCGTTTTGATAATATCCCCATCAGAGAGGGGCTTACCATGTTTTGCTATGCACAGTGAAATTTGAAAATTGGCAGCTGTCAGATGATTTGTTCTAGAAAGATAGTTGCAAAACCTAAGTTACTGGGAATGATATTTCCTCAATTTCTCTTTAAGAAACTCTTTTCTTTCAGTTTCACCAAGTTTGGCAACACTTTTGTGGTTGATGTGCGACACAAAACACTTTCATTACACAGAATACATAAACTTTCCCATTTCATTCAATCACTCCAAATGACTCTATCCAGGCCTCTTGGAATGATCTTCCACTATCTGTTTTTGCTTTTTTTGCTGTACTCATTTTTGGGTGTTCAAGACTCGGGAGTCTACAAAAACACAACATTTAAAAAAAAAAATGAAGCATCCAATACAAATCTATCCCTATACCAAAAATAGCTAACACTGTTAGTTAACATTAAAGAAATGGATATTTCCTGAATCAACAATCTACGGCTGGCTGGCTTTATGAGCGGCTGGAACATAGGAACATAAGAAGAGCCCGCTGGATCAGGCCAATGGCCCATCTAGTCCAGCTCTTGTATCTCACAGTGGCCCACATCTATAATGAGGTAGCGCATACCCATCAGGGCTAGTAACCTGTGATGGACTTTTCCTCCAGAAATTTGTCCAATCCCCTCTTAAAGGCATCTAGGCTAGATGCCATCACCACATCCTGTGGCAAGGAGTTCCACAAATTAATTACATGCTGGGTAAGTGGATGTTCCTCTTTTATTGAGCAGGGGGAGAGTAACTGGTCCTCCACACCCCAGCAGTG